TCAGAAATTTCAGTCATGAACCACCCCCATATCCTGGTTTCAGAATAGTATCTAATCTCCTTGGCAAGGAGGATCCAGTCTTGACTACTAGGTGCTCCCAATTTGGAATTCTGATATTCTAGGAGTACCAAACCAACTTCAGTATCTAGCCATAATTCAGGCTGCTACTTCTGTCTGAGATGGTTTCCTCTATTCTCTAAACCTGAGAAATTCTTTTAAGAATTAAGTCTTAGCTGAGCCTGGTGTTACATGCCTGTAATACTAGCACTCTGTGAGGCTGAAGCAAATCAAAAGCCCAGCCTAAATGATTTAGTGAGATCTTGTCTCAAAATAAAAAATAAAAAGGGCTCCCACCCTTTAAAAGGACTCAATGAGAAGGCCCTGCGTTTGATCCCCAGGACTACTTTTAAAAAAAGGATTAAGCCTTCTGTTTCCATACCTTTCTACACTTATCAAGAAAGACTCCTCTGCTTAATAGTAAAGTCGCAGGGCAGGGAAGTCTTATATTACAACCAAGTGTATGTGAAATTCACTAACTACCCAAAGTTGTGGGAGAGCCAAGAGGAATCTAAATGGCAGAGTGAGAAATGGTGACAATAAAGATGAGAATACAAAATTAATGTTTGGAAATGAGTTATTCTTCCTTAAAATTTATTCTATACACTTCTGTAAAAAAAAAAAGGTTTAAAGATTTCCAGGAAATTAATGAATTACTAAAAAGAGGATTAATGATGAACAATCTTCTTGACAACTGGTAGAAAAAAATATTTCACACATAATTCAAGCCAAGACTGTGGGGAAAATAGGAGACTGTTTATGGGAAGAAATGAGTCTCAAAAAGTAATGCTACTGGGCCAGGAATCAGTGGCACCACACCTGCCTCTCAAGCTCAAGGTCCTGAGTTAGATCCCCGGTAACAACAACAACAAAAAAAGTAATGCTACAAATCACCACACACTAACATTAACCAAATTACAGTGACATTTACACCAAATCAAACTTCTTAATTGATTTTTTTTTTTCTTTTTGGTACTGGGGATCGAACTCGGGTCCTCCTTGCACTTGTGAAAATCAAACTTCTTGTAACAGTTGGAAACAACTAAATACAAAACTAGATTTTAGCTCAGATGCAACTTCGGTGCTTTACTATGTAATAGCAAATATACCTGTGACCTTAGTGTTCCTGATGCAAAAAGTAAACCTACTTACCTGAAAAACAAGCTCCTTCCTTTTAGACTAGATTTCTAGATTACCTGCATAATTAGTTGCAGACAGAATTAAAAGAGAAACTGAAGAAACAAAAGACAACAAAATAGTTTCAACTAGAATCCCCACAGAACCAAAACTAAGTGTAAGAAACACAAGCACTTCTGTGGACAAGAGGAACCAGGAAGAACGTGACATTTTCTAGGACCTCGCTGTAATTTCTGATGTAAAATGGTTGAATCAGAATTGGAAAGGCGACCAGGAGTTGGGGGCAGTACATTCCCAGAACCGGTTTCTGAAGGTGGGGGATGGGGTTGCTCGCTCACTTTTTCCATTCAACATTTACAGAATGTTTGTCTGGACAAGGTAAGTGACCCAGGGCTTAGTTTTTATCCTTGGTAAAATGTCTACTTCCCAATATTATGAGGACAAGAGCAGCCAGTATTTAAGCACATCTCTTGCTTATTTACAACCTATATGATAGATATCGTCATATGATAGGTGAGAAAACTGGACCACAAAACTATTTGTGACCACAGCTTTGAAACCTAGTCCTGCTTAATCCCAGAAACTTCTGAACTAATTTAGTACACTTCATCAAATGTGTTCCTTTTCTTCTCATTTATAGTCCTATGGTCTCTTAAATTAAACAAAAATGACATATTTCCAAATCAATCTACTATGGGCCTGGCATGGTCAATTAATTTGTCCTCATAACAGCTTTATGAAGTTAGTTTTGGTTTGAAATAAACTTAATCTTTCCCCAGTGAAAAACTTGTTTCACATGAAAAATCATTCTCAAAGTGTTTTGCTGACATAAATATCCCCCAGGTGTCAAGTTTTCTCAAGACCTGACCACTACTCTGGAGGGGAAAAAAACTGACCATCTAGGTTTCAGATATATAGAGATAAAAATATGAAATGGCAGCCTTGCAGCCTGCTGAACACCAAGGTTCTAGAATATGCTACCTCTTGAAATATTCATCTTCCCACAAGAGAAATAACAAAGAGAAGGCAGTGGAGACTGCATGTGTCTTTCCCATTCTAACTCACTCACTTTGATAAACCACATCTCTATTGTACAAATCTGAACACTAAAACAAAACTACTGGGCCCTAGCGGTACATGCCTTAGGCCTAGGTTCAATTCCCAGCACACGGTGGTGGTGGGGATTAAGTTATATATGTGGCATTTGAAATTTCCCAGAATACTGAAATTCTACCGGTAAACTAGGAAAAACAAATCAAAGAATCTGGTGACTTTGCTGAACACCTCATACGCCTTTAAGTACATGATCTAGAGAAATACCAGCCCAAAGGGAACCAAAAGTTATACGCATGGTTTTCATTTCCTTGTCATGTTCTATTCATTTCAGAAATGCACTACACTGGTTAGCTCTCCGTGCTTGTAATCTGGTCAATTAAAACATAGGAGGAATGTGTTTACTTAATAACAAAAGGAAAATCATTCACTTTGTATAGATTTTCTGGTGTGTGTAGGCAGAGGATCTAAGGATAGTATTTTCCAGTCATGACCCTTTCCAGATTCTAACCCTTAAATTGATTCAAATACAAGGATCAGGAAAGAAGCAACAGATACAGTGCTGCTATCTCGGGATGTCTAGACTACAGGCAAACCCCAAATACCAAGGAAGCATCCAAGTGTCAAAGCAGCATAATTTCTGAGCTATGCCTGGGGCCACATGCAAAAAAAAAAATCTAGCCTGAAAAGAAAATCTAGGAGGGGAAACTACAAGGTCAACCCCAGTTCACAGGAACCGGGGGAAGCTAGGAGGGCTAGGTGGCCATTTACCAGTGTCATCTTCCTGAGCAGCTTCCTCTCGGCCCTTGCAGTACCTCAGAAAAGCACAGCTCCCGAAATGCTCGCAGGCCAAGGTCATCCGGAGATAACCTTCAAAGTCCTGAATGCCTTTAGGCCAAAGAGACTCCCCCTCCCCAAAAATCACCCTGTAAATACCTTAAATGCCATCGGGCTTTTCTCTGGAACTCTACCAGAAACAAGCTTCCCTACTTTGAACTAAACCTGTTCTGTTTTGCAAGATAAATTCACGGGCTCTTCAGCTTTAACAAAGTCCAGTTGAAAAAAGCAGGTGCTTTCAGTGCACTTTTTAATGACAAGGTCAAATTCACTTTAATTTATTAAAACAAAAAAGAGGAAAAGTTGTCTTAACCTTCCTGAAGGACTGCTTGGGTAAAACTGTGACAGGGTCCCTGGTCTGGCTAAACAGTAATTTCTCATTTTCGGACTGTAAGCAATCATGGAGGATTACTAGCAGGAAATAACAAAGAAACGGGTCAGTGTTGCCAGAACAGACAACACCATCGAACCACCCCAAGAGATCAGGCCCCCACCCCAACCAACCTGTCCTTCCCAGCTCCCCTCCCATGCATAAACACACAAAGGCCCGCGGCGCGCCCTCCGCCCAGGCTTCCCTTCCCCGGCGAGCACCACCGGGACCCCGAAACTTCCCCGGGGTGGTTTTCTGGGGGTCGTCAGCTTGGGTGCCCCGGACCTTCGAGCCGCAACTCGACGAAGAAGGGGCTCGCCGGTTTCCCCCGAAGCAGCTCAACTCCTCCCAGACTCTGGACCCTCGGGCGAAGCAGTCCGCACGACGGGTCAGCTGGGCCTCGCGCGGGCTGCTGGCCGGTACCGGCCGGGCGAGGGTGACGGTAGCCCTCACCTGCGCGGACCCGACCGCCCGCCCGCAGGCCGCGCCTCCCGCACGCCGCGCGCCGGGGCTTGTTCCTCTCATGGCTTCGCCCTGACGTAATTCAAACATGGCAACAGTTCACTTCAAAGCCGGTCCGCGGACCTCCCATGCTCGGCCCGGGCGCGGGGCGGGCGGCTGCGCTCGCTCTCGGGGCCCCGGCCGGGATGGGAGCCCCAGGGCCGCGCCCGAGCGGGGAGCCCGGCGCCCCGCATCAACCGGCACCCGCGCCCGCCGCGCCGCCAAAGTTTCCCCGCGCGGCCCGGGGGACAAAGCCGCGCCCGGCGGCCGCCCAACTCAGCGGCGGCCCCACGGCGCGCGGCCTTTGTCTCCCGCTGGCTCTCGGGGCGCGGCCCTGCCCCGCCGACCGCCAGCCCGGCAAAGTTTGGCGGCGCCCGGAGCGGCGACTCGGGCTGCGCTCTCAGGACTGGCGGCGCCATCACGCGGGCACATTGTCCCAGGCTGGACCTCGCGCCGAGACGCGCCCTCGCGGGGTCGCCAGCGGCACGTGCTCCGTCCCGCCGAGCCCTGAGCGGCGCCGCGAGTGGGTGGCCCAGCCGCCGCCGCGCCCACACCTGCGCCACAGGTGAGCGGCCGCCCGCCGCCGCGCGTGGCGCTCTTTGTCGCCGCGTCCCGAGTTGGGCAACAACGCCCCGCCGCGTGCGCCGCGCCGCCCGGAGGCCGCGGGCCCTCACGCCGCCGCCGCCGCCGGGCGACAACTTAGTTCTCGGCGACCGCGCTCATTGTCCCCGGCCCTCACGTGAGGCCGGCCGCCCCCGCTCCGCACGCGGTCCTGCAGCCCCAGCGCGCCCGCGCTCGGCCTCCCACCCAGGGCGCGCCTCAACGAGGAAAGTCCTCAGCGCGGCCCCCGGCCGGCCTCAGGTGCGGGGGAGCAAGGGGATCGTGCACACAAAAGGGCCGGGCGGGCCGGGGCAGCGCTCCGCCGATGCCGCCGCGAGACAAAACTTCCTGTGTGTGCGCGCGTGAGAACGGGCGGCGGCGAGGGAACAGCCCGCAGTCCGAGCCCGGGGACACTTCTGCACCCAGCCCCGCCTCAGCCACTCACCTTCCCAAAGCGGCCGACCCACGCGCAACAACGTTCCCGAGGTGCGGCGTGCACGCCGGGCCAGCCCCCTCCGAGCTCCGCTCCGCCTCAACCGCCGCGTCCGAAAAGATTGTCTCCTGCAGTTCTACAGTTGCCACGGCCGGCCGCGAAGGTGTAGATTCCGCTTTCCCTCTGCGCACGCGCGGCTCTCGGACCGAAATTCTCTTGAATCGAGCTCATTTGCATACGGGCGCGCGCGCGTCGCGGGCGGGGTGGGGCGGGGAGAGGGCCGGGCGGCCGCGCGCGCTCCCGAGGCCTCTATTGTCCTTTTAAGGGGAGAAGCTCCGCGGCGCGGGAAACGCGGCGGCCGAGGAGCGGGGCGCGGGGCGGGGACTACCTACTACGGCGACGTCACATAAACAAACTCCTCTCGGCGGCGGCGGGGGCGCGCGGCGCGAGGCGGGCACCTGCCTACGTTCCGGCTCGGTCACCGAGTGCTCGGGACTGCTGTAGTGTGGAGCAGGCCCTCACACCTGACGGGAAAGCCGGCCCTGGGCGCCCAGCCTGGCTCTGCGCGGTCCTGTGCGCCCTGAATTCCGTCTGCAGAGGGCTTTAACTTTTAAAGCGCCTGTCGGCCGCGTGGTTCCGTTCAGCACAGGTCCCGGAGCCGCGTGGCCCCGTCCCGCCCCGGCGCGTGGCGCTGGCCGTGGGGACCGAGCCACCGTGGGCCCGGGACGGGAAGCAGGAGTGAGCTCGGGGTCGGGAACTCCGCCAGGGAGAGGGTGTGAGGATCTGACCAGCTGAACGGTCTGGTCACGGAGGAAAAGAAACGGAAACGGCTCTCCTCGGGTGGAGAGTGGAAAAGGCGGGGAGCGAGGCTCGCAACGCTTTTCCCGCAGACACCGCCACGCCGAGGTGGCGACCCCGGGTTCCGGGGTAGTGGGGGGGACCGAAGAAGGATGATTTTCTCAGGAGCTTGATAGTGGTCCCAAGCTCAGAAGTGTGCACGTCAACCGTAAAACTTAATCGTGTGCTGACAAGTTTCACGGCTTTCGCTCTCCGTGCTTGTTCCAGAGCGCGCGCCTCGAGCCCGTCCACCCCGACGCTAGAACGGTCCGCGAGGACTACACCTGGCACCACAAAACGAGGGTCCCTGGGAGCAGGGGTGTTACCTGACTCGTGTTGATGCTCCAGACACTGGATTCTGAATAATTGCTTATAAAACAATAAATCAATGGACATTTTCAATTTTAGTATAGGTTTGTCTCAGGTTAAAATACATTTACTCTTTTTGCTTGACCTAAAGTGAGTTTGGAGGTTATAGTGACCTCCTTGATGGGTAGCATGCCATCCTGTCCTTGGGGTAGTAAAAATAAACGAGCTGAGTGTGGTGGCACACACCTGTCATCCCAGCACTCTCGGCGGCTGAGGCAGGGGAATCCCAAACTGGGAGACCAGCCAGGGCAATGTAGCAACCTCGTGAGACCCCGACTCAAAATTGAAAGGGAGGTGTACTGGAGAAATTGCTCAATGCAAAGACCTTGGTTTCAATCATCAGTAACATAAAAAAATAGATTTAATAACTTTCTGGGCTTCCAAGAGTGTTAAACTGGGCCGTAAGCATAAATTTCTACATTGTTCACTTTAAAGAGCATTTTAAAAGTTGTTTGGGATTGTCTCAAATACTTAGTTTATGACCAATCCTCTAAAAATAATTTCAAATTATCCCTATGAAAATTGCACAGCATAATAATATTCTTAAATGTTAATTATGGCTTTAAGGAGATATATCAATATATAAAGTAGAAAAACGAGCTTGAATGTCTTTTATATTAAGGTAAAAATATATATTGTAGAGCTGGGGATATAGCTCTGCGTAGAGTGCTTGCTTGCCTAGCTTGAGAAAGGCTCTCCATTTACTCCCCCCGGCCACACACACACACACACACACACACACAGGATGCAACTGTAACGCAAACTATTACACACACACACACACACACACACACACGAGATGAAACTAACAGACGATTAAGGAAATACTGTTCAGATAAAACCTGGGAGCTCCAGAGTTCCTGAATTAATATAAAGCATTTCTTCGCTGTCAAAGTGGAAGTCAAGAAGCAGCCTGGATAATTTTTGTAGGAAGGCTAGCAACAAAATCCTTAAAGAGAAATTTGGATTCCTTAGAGTCTTTTTTTTTTTTTTTTTTAACAACCACCTGCTATTTTTGAACCACCAGGTGCATTCCAAAGGTTCTTTGTTCATTTCCTTGCTTGAACATGTTGTTATGGCTGGCCCTACCCAAAGCCAATAGCTCATTTATGGACTACTTTAAAATTCTACCGCCTAAACAGCCCAAGTGAATTTTTTATTATATTAAAAAAAATTTAAAAGGTAATTTATAATAAGTTTGGATTATAGAAGATTGAATTATGGTAAGGAAGTATCTGAGTATTTTTAGTGACTATAGTGTTACATTGAGCTGATGAGTTCTAAGAAAATGTTGAATAGAAACTACAGTTAAAACTAGCCATGTTAACTCTGGTTAAGCCAACGACTTTGATTGTGATGTATTGTCCTGCTGCGGAATTACTCTTAGTGCTTGAACATTCACAGTCCTTTAGCAAACACTGAATCATCTTAAACCTGTGCTACCGTACGTAGTGAAATCATCTGAGAACTAGAGGGCTCAAGCTGCCTTAACTCTTCTAATTCGTTTCTGTATAATTCTATTTTATTTACTACTTTTCCCCTGTAGAATGCATTGCTTTTTTAGAGATTTAATTTTTGTCATTAACTTTATGATGTATGGCAGTATTCTTGTAATGGAGGATAGGTTACATATAAAGGATTGAAAAAGATCATTCTTGCTTGGCAATGAAGGATATCAGCAAATTTAATAGTATTTGCAATGACAATTCAAACAAGTGATTATGGTTTTAAATGAAGGCTGGTAGCCTCCTCAGAAGCAGGGACCACATTACAACTTTTGTGGTTAAGCCCAAGAAAGAGCTGCTTATTATTACTAAATGTTGAGTTTGAATATTATTAAACTCTGGCTTGAATGTGTCTCAGAAAGTTCATGTTTTGGAAATTTAGTCTTCAGGGCAACAGTGCTGAGGGGTGGAGCTGTAAGAGGTAGTAATGCTGTTCTGGAGGGAGGTTGTTATCCTGGGAGCAGGACCCTGATAAAGGTTGAGTTTATCACCTTTCCCCTCTCTCTCCACACTGGACTTTCTTGCCCCCAGAAGTGTAAGCCAAACACATCTCTGTTCATTACCCAGTCTCAAGTACCCTGTCATGGCAGCACAAAATGGACTAATTGTATTCCATAATAAGTAATACTTATGAGACTAAACCAAAAGTAAAAGAATAAAATAAAAAAAGAGATGGTATGAAACAAAAAAGCAGACTGGTTGGAGATGAAGAAGGAAATCAGGGGGCCAGGGATTTAGCTCAGTGGTTTCGCTGCCTGCTGCGCAAGTGCAAGGACCTGAGTTTGATCCCTGGTACCAAAAAAAAAAAAAGAAGGAAATCAGGGAGAGGGAGACAGGGTAGGGAGTGGGAGAAAGGGGTTGAAAATAATTGAGATATGTCACATTCATGTACCCGTGCCTCTAATGAATGTAACTGTTACAAATTGCAAATACATTAATAAACAAAAAGGACTAAACCAAGAGCTTTTTTCCTTACACCAGAACAAGTACATACAGTATTTTGTTACTTGTTTAATTCCCTTTGAAGTTCAAATAGCAAGTGTTCAGAGCAAGTCAGATGGTTTTATACTGGAAGGTACAGAGCTGATTGTGCTGGCAGTGATGGCCCAGTCCTCCAGCAACTGTTGACACCTGCCAGTATTTGTTACTTAGTACAAATTACCCTTTCAAATTTCCTAACTTAAAAGATTGTTACAAACATTCTTAGAGTATTCTCTGAATTTATAGAGGTTTTAACTTAGGATAGGAATGAAGCTCAGTGGTAGAACTCTTTTTTTTTTTTTTTTGGTACTGGGGATCGAACTCGGGTCCTTGCGCTTGTGCAGCAGGCGTCGAAACCACTGAGCTAAATCCCCGGCCCAGTGGTAGAACTCTTAACCTGGCATGCATGAGACCCTGAGCTCAGGGGCCAGGGATTTAGCTCAGTGGTGCCACACTCCTGGTACAAAAACAAACAAACAAAAGACCCTGAGCTCAAACCCTGCTGCATAACAGAGAAAGAGAGGTATGAAGAGATTTAAAGTTTTATACTACTGTCATACCATTTTAATAAATACTTTTAAAAATAAAATTATCAGTAACAAAAATAGTTTTATTTTAAGAACATCAGGAAACTAGAATGAGTCCCCTGAAGAGTAATGAAGTCACATAAACCAAACCCTAAAAGCAGTAATAGAAGAAGGGGTTGTGTTTTGGTTAAGCAAGAGATGGAGCTCCCAGGTAGAGCCTTTGTCTAGCATACAACCACCGCTGGGTTCAGTCCTCAGTACCAAATGAAGCAAACCAAAGAAAACCACTTTGACTTGACTTGTGAAGGACTGTCATTAGAAGAGCAAATGAGCTTTTAAAATATATATTTGAACCAAAAATTGAAAATCACAAAAATATTGCTAAATATGAGAAAAATTTCTAAATATACAAATTTTCTAAGTATGGTTCAAGACGTTCATAAGACAGCACCCCACCACTAATGATAAATACTAGCCAAACAAACCCGAGATCTTCCCATAAGTGTTGCATTCAGTGAACCAAATTATTTACAGTGTAGAGCTAGCTACCCTTTAAACTCATGTTGTTTTATCAATTTGTAATTGCATGGGGTACGTGAGTGGTGCCAATAAGTGCCTAGCTGGAGAGGTTAGGAATGTCTTTTTGAAGAGGATGGGATTTGAGTCTGGATATGAATTCATTCATTCATTCATTCAACAAATATTGAGTATAAGCTACATTCCAGGTTCTAATGAGCAATATAAATACAATCATGTGGGGCCGGGGATTTAGCTCAATGGTTCCACCATCTGCCTCGAAAGCAGAAGGACCAGAGTTCGATTCCCGGTACCGGGAAAACAAACAAACAAAAATCATGCAATGAGGAAGGCAAGCATTCCAAATATCAAATAGTGGAAAATAAAAGAAAAAAATAAAAAGAAAAGTTCTAGGAATCTAACCAGGGGAACGGGGGCAGGTCTAACGTGGAGGTGAGAGA